CTCGTTCATATACCATCACATCTGTCAAACACGGGACAATTTCTGGACCGCTTGCGTTCGTGCAGGCTTCAACACGACTGTGTTGTAGAATCATTTGACGTGTCTGCACTCTACACTAACGTCAGCAACAATGAAGCTTTGCAAGCCGTTTCGGAAATGCTCGACGAGCACGAGAGAACTATAATGACGTTCGGGTTGAGTAAAGCTCAAATAATGGTTCTCATCAGGGAGTGTTTGAACTGCAATATATTCAAGTGGTCCCGTAATAACTTCGTTCTCCCACCATCAAGGCTTGCGAGAAGGAGCGGCCTAGCACTTGGAACTGTGTCTGTTTCATGAGTAGAATTGAACGCCCAGTGCTAGAACGCTTGCCAATCATGTACTGCCGCTATATCGACGACTGTTTTGTTTAACATCAACTCAAGACGAAATGGACGAGTTGTTCAATATTCTTAACAGTCAGTCGCAGTACATCAAGCTAACTCGGGAAGTCCCGCGCGAAGGTTGGCTACCCTATCTGAACACTCAGATTAGGGTCTCCAATGGAACATACAGTGTGAAATGGTATAGAAAAGAAAGACTCCCAAAAACATCATTGTTCATTTGCACTGTCGCAAGCCCCAGAGATTAGTACTGCATATTGCGCGTAAACATGTACACTAAAACTGTCAGTGTGCACCGGTGACGAGGAGCGAGAAGAGTCCAGAAGATTAGCTTGTCAAATTGCTAATCTAAATGGCTACACAGCGAGGCAGCGGCATAGGCGAAGCAGACCGAGTCCTTTTCCATACGGAGCTGAGAATAAACTATATCTTCAGCTTCCGTTTATATCGGATCGCTTTACCGCAGTTATACAACAATGCCTAAGAAGAGCAGATTTGGCCAATGATGTCTTCTTGATCAACATACCAAAAGACAACATCAAACACCAGTTGGTCAGGAATCGACTTTACGATCGAATCTGTATCATGGAAAACTGCGTGATCTGCCCGTATGGAAAGGTTGGAGACTGCGCACAACGTTCTGTGGTTTACCAGCTTCAATGTTTGACATGTAACGCTTTGTACATTGGAGAAACTGGCAGACAGTTAGGAGTACGAGTGAGAGAACACCTGGCTAGCAAAAGAAGAGAAAGCTTGATTGCACCGCTTAGCAAGCATAGAAGGGAAGGTCATGCTGGTTGTGAATTTGAAATCAAGTGTACAATACTGGCCTACGAAAACGACATTGTGCAAGGAAAACCCTCGAAGCTTTTCTATATACGGCAACGTAATCCTTGTATGAATAACAGAAACGAATGCATCTCCATAACTGCTGACTTCTTACCCTATATCCCCCTCTGTGAACTAGGATAATGAGAACGTCATGCACTGCACGTACACTCTATATAAGCAATGCACGACTGGTTGTCTCATTTTATTTTACTGTATCTGGAGACCATCAAGGGAAGCTGCTGATCCAGAAGCGGTGACGCTGGTGGAGTCAAGGTAGGTGACACATTCCTGGGGTTTTCACTCCTTGATTCATTAGCTTGGGTGCCACTTGGTCAAAGCGATTTCATAGTGAGCGGATAGGTAAATTTGAATGCGTATGACGCTTTCAGGCTTTTGATAACGACGAGTTAGTCGAAACGTCAAGCCCAACAAAGATTCCATCGTGTCAAAACCTTGTGCACATAAACGATTTATACACTGTTTAACAACAAATCCCAGTTTCACAGAAGGCGTATTTTTTTGTTAGGAGATAAAAGTGTGAGCTCATTTGCTTGTTTCTTGACATACTTCTTGCTTTCTAACGAGCTACCGCGCACTATTCAGCATCCCTAACCTCCACTACTGAATACAACTCAATCTTATCGGTATTCCTCGCTCCAACGGCCTCAGGACTTTACTTTGAGCATGTCAGCGATTGCTATCCTCGTTCTTCTTTCGTGTGCAACAATTTCAACAATGACACCTCAAAATATATTCCCATAAGAAAATGTGTCCTAAGACCACGGCGTGATTGCAGTATTCGTGAACTATCCTGATCTTATTCTCTCGCAATCTCTGCGTAATGGCTTGTAGATCAATGAGAAGTGAAACGCTTTTGAAAAAGTTTTCTAAAAAGCAGCCCTGGGGAACTTGCTTTGAAAGTGTTGCTCTTAAATATCATTCACCTAACCAATTCATCGTCGCGATGGTGATGTTGTCGACAATGCCTTGCTCGTTCACCTCTTCCTCGTAACGTACGTTATTCTCCAACAGCTCCAAATTGAGCAAATTTTCTGAATATGTCCACGAGCCAAACTGAAAAGTCAGAAGTTACCAAGTTTCGATGAAATGGGGATGGGAAAAAAATTATTCAATAATATGAGTCTAGCTTCACGCACCTTCAGATGACATTGTTGCTCATCAAACGGAAACCTGAAGTCAAACATTACACAACTTTATATATAGAAGTCCTTCCGCCTAGATCATACATGTATACTGTACAATGCGGCTACGTGAGGCTGGCTTCCAATAACGGGCGATTTGTTGGCAAATGACCGCCTGCTCAACTTCAGACCTCGCGTCAACACGACCAACCGCGCTTTTTCTTTGTGAGCATTGAGTCCAAAAGCGTAGTTAAACCTGCGTTCACGCCATAGCATGATTGTCAGGAGGCGTCAGTCGGCTATCGCACTCGCCGGCTAGCGATTGACTCACCCTTGCCTGCGTGCTGTTGTAAGACGCTCGTCGCGAAACCCGGCCGAAACCACTGCGATCAATTTCTGTCTCACCGATGTATCTGTTTCTTGAGGAGGATAAGGAAGAATCTCCTTTGAATTTTTTCTGTTTTCTATATGAAATATTTTCTTTACCCTTACAAAACTCCCTTTACGTCACACGTTAGAAAAATTCAAGTGCGTCTTTCTTCGGGTAGTTTTTAAGAATTCACACCATGAAGTTGGATCGATTTGGCCCATCATCCCCTACGGAGCGCAAGAAAACGTTCCGCGCAAGGGACACGGCGAATTTAGATGGTGCACGGCGCAGACTGAACCTTTCTCGGCTATTCTCCGTCCCTCTCTGGCCTTTACACTATTTCAATGCAACACTTCCTATTGCATAGGACTATCCCCAGATTCGCCGCCCGCAGTATAAAAGCACCCTTAACACTTAACAGATCGCTCGTGCATCTCAGAACCACACAACTTGTAAAATATTTAAAAACAAAGCTACTAGGAGTTCATTTAAAAATGTTATCTTCCAATAACAATACCACCTGAACGTACAACTGGCATATACTTTTTGAATATCGGCTGCGGTTACCCATGTACCCCACCAGAATAGTGCAGTGTAGCTTTCGTGGAGATTGTAATATTATAGTTGCTGTCCGCACTGAAAATTCAATAACACATACTCTGAAATTAAGTTGCTCAAGATAAGTACGCAGTCGCGCCATGCATACATCGAGTTACGTTCAGAATCGTAAACGCATTTAAAGAAAAACTGTTTACTACAGAATAAAATTGAATTTGGAGAGGTGGTAAGGAGATAAAGAGTATGTCTGATTGGGAGGGTATAGCATACATTCACGATTTACTGTATCTGGAGGCCATCAAGGGAAGCTGCTGATCCAGAAGCGGTGACGCTGGTGGAGTCAAGGTAGGTGACACATTCCTGGGGTTTTCACTCCTTGATTCATTAGCTTGGGTGCCACTTGGTCAAAGCGATTTCATAGTGAGCGGATAGGTAACAATTTGAATGCCGTATGACGCTTTCAGGCTTTTGATAACGACGAGCTAGTCGAAACGTCAAGCCCAATAAAGATTCCATCGTGCAAAACCTGTGTGGCACAAAAAGATTATACAACTGTTTGAGACCCTTTTCTTTGCCCGTTGACCTCCGATGATGGGAAAGCTAGCAACCAATTAAGGGGTCGTTTGCACGTGCTTAGCCGATGGCCACCACTAATCATTCGATGCTACTAGCAACCCACTGATGTGGCGGGGCTCAGAAAGGAATGGCAAGCCCAGTGCGCTGCAACTAGCGCACCTTTGAGCCACAAAAACGCTACATTCTCACTTCCTTGGGCCCCTGACTACTGCTTCCAATGGTGCATGTACTTCCACGCTGCACACACACTTTATCGTAATCCCTCGCTTTGTGCTACAAGTACGGTGGGCGAGCACAAGGAAGAAGGATACGGGCACTTTGTGAGACACTGGGCGGCGGAGGGAGATAAAGACTTGGATACGACGGAGTTACGGAACGAGTGAGGCGCAGACACAAGCGCATCGCAACGGTCGTGCGTAGATTCGTTAGGCGTGCAAATGTGCGAGTATGTCCCATAACACTTTCACACGCGTTTTGGTTTCACTGGCGTTTTGGACCCAGCTAAAAATTTAGTGCACTGGAGATTTTGTTCCAATGGAACAAGCGCGGAATGTATCTTTGAACAAGTTTTACCTTCATTCGACCCTAACTAGGTGGAACACTTGATAAACCCGGGTAAGTTCTAGCCTACCTGGAAGTGCCACATGGCACTTTTGCTCGGTACGCGACCTCTAATGGTGACATAGAAATTAAGGCGTTGGCAACCGTAACTTACATGAAGCCATACTTATTTTGTTGGTGTTACAGATCTCTCCGATTACTATCCGTCAGTGGAATGGGACATCATGTCGAGAGTGGCACGACGACGATCAAAAAACTATCCGA